TCGTCGACTCAATGCTGCTACATTTGGTGGTCTCAACTTTCAGCCAATGCCCTCGCCGCTGACTGAAGCACACTGCCGCTCCGGATGGGAGATGGGCAAGGGCGCCTCGCATGAGGTCATGCGCCGTTGAGGGGGGGGTAATGTCACGAGTTGACACGGCGTCTAGCCGCTTTTTAATTTTTTCCTTTTCGTGGGCTCGAACCCGCGACCTCTGTACTACCTGCCTGATATGGACACGTCGTTATCTACTGTACGATTAGATTAGATGGGGCGGCAGCGCACGGCACAGCTCGGGCCCCGCTGACGCAGCCGCTCTCACTCACCGGCCCCCGGGGCCGTGTCGGCATGCTGCGCACAGACCAGCTGCGCACGGACCAACGCGCACAGCCTGCCCTTAACCTCCCCTGTATATAAACCGGCCTCTGCTGCCCTAGGGACCTCAGTTTCGACCTCTTGTCCCTAGGTCAGTAAGCATCCTTTGTATTCCTTTTCTTACCTCACTAATATATTACCTTGTCCCTAGCCTTAGGTTTGAGCATAGCTCACCATCGCTTCGGTGAGACTTAGTCAGACGCCCCCAGCATTCAAGTTTTCCTCAGTCGCTTGACCTCAAGTCGCGACAGTAGGAGTTCAGGGAGTTACGACCCCCTTTAAAAAGGAGGCCACCTTTGCCACTGCCTTCAGGGCCCACTTCGGCAACCTCGATAACGAAGCAGCAGCACAGGTAGAACTGGCCAAACTCTGTGCGGATAAATCGATCCACGAAAAATGTACCGCTGCAGAGTTCTCCACGTTATTCAACGGTCCGGCAGACCATTCTGGGTATGGAGACCTGGAGCTATGCGACAAGTACCTAAGCAGCATCCCCTCCCAAGTCCACCAAAAAATCGAGCTCAAGACCTTCATCATGTGGCAGGAAGCTGACAAGCATGCCACAGAAGTCAAGCAGATCCTCGATATTAGCCAGGCCCGTCGGCCCGAGCTGAACAATTTCTTCTCCGGTCAAGGAAGAGGGCAAGGCGGAGCGCGTGGTGGTGCACCACAGCCGCACCTAACTTTGGCCAGCATCAACGTGGCCATCGGAAAAGGAAACTTTCCTGGAAGCTGCTTCGGCTGTGGAAAGCAAGGGTACCAACACTTTGAGTGCCCCAATTGTAAGGACAAGCCTTATGCAAAACACATTGACACATGGGCTACGGTTGCCTCATGTTCCACCCAGGCCATGACAAGCGCCCCCATCCCTTCACCCTCAGCAAGTATAAGTGCCGCTTCAGCAAAGTCTGAGCAACTGGAGCTGGCGGACTTACTAGTACAAGTGAAATCAATGCGCAAGGAGCTCAAGCACTATCGGGCAATGAAGGAGGAGTCTTTTTGATATGGTCTGCGCTTTGTGCTGCACGCGTGAGACCTCATAATAGCAATATATACAATGTATTGGCAACCGCAAATGTATACGAGTTGGACCACGGGTCCCAGTATTTTCACATCCTGGTGTGCCTCAAAGGAGAAAGACAACACAAGAATATAATTGCAATGGTGGACAGCAGAGCCACCACGAGATTCATCAACAAGTGTTTCATCACAGAGAATTGAGTACAAATGCAGAAATTGAAGGAACCAATTCCACTATACAATATTGATGGAACACTCAATAAAGATGGAAGCATCTCGAAAGTAGCTGTGCTACAGATGCAGATAGAAGATCACATCGAAAAGACGGTGTTCATGGTCACAGATATAGGCCCAGAAGATGTAATCATTGGGTTGGATTGGCTACATGAGCACAACCCCAAGATTAATTGGGAGAAAGGCTCCCTCAAACTATCATGATGTTCTGAAACGTGCAGTGCCAGAAAGATTGGCTGAACAGAGCAAGCAGCGACTGCACGTGACATGGGGGACAGGCCCACGGCACGCAGGCATTCACCAAAGTCCAAACAGTCGGTCATCAGTGCCTGTTGGAGTCAGGTACTCCCGGATGTCAAACCCTAAGAAGAACCAGAGGAAATCAAGTGGACAGAAGCTGACTTGATCAAAGCATGGGAACAAGACATCACACTTCCTGGCACCCCTTAGCTGTTTGTTGCAGCAGGGCATATATACTCCCAGCTGTTCACTAAGGAAGAGATCAAGAAGAAGGTGGTTAAGACTGCCGAGTCAGTACCTAAGCAGTACCATGAGTTCCTAAAAGTCTTTTCCAAGGAAGCATCAGAATGGCTACCCAAAAGGAAGCCATACGACTATTGCGACTTAGGGTCGAGCGATAGGGGAAAACCAAATGCTGGAGGTGTTCGACTTATCTTACTGAAGCGATGGTGAGCTAGGCTCAAACCTAAGGCTAGGAACAAGTTAGTTAGTATTTGAAAGGTAAGTAAGTATAGGGGCTTACTGACCTAGGGACAAGAGGTCAAAACTGAGGTCCCTAGGGCAGCAGAGGCAGGTTTATATACAGGGGAAGTTTAGGGGAGACTGTGTGCACTGGTCCGTGCACAGCTGGTCCGTGCGCAGCATGCTGATGCAGCCCTAGAGGCTGGTGAGTCAGAGCAGCTGTGTCAGCGGGGCCCGAGCTGTGCCGCACACTACCGCTCATCTAATTTAATCGTACAGTAAATAACAATGCATCCATATCAGGCATATAGTATAGGGGTGCGGGTTCAAGCCCACAAAAAGGAAAAGATTAAAAGACGGCTAGATGCCGTACCAACTTGTGACATTACCCCCCCCTCAATGGCGCATGACCTTATGTGAGGCGCCCTTGCCCATCTTCCACCCAGAGCGGCAGCATGCTTCAGTCAGCAGCGAAGGCATTTGCTAAAAGTTGAGACCACCAAAGGTAGCAGTGTTGAGGCGACAAGGGGCATTCGGGTTCTTCTGGTGTAAGTCGGCTATGAGGGCTGGCGCATTGGCAACGTTGCGCGCTGGTTCCCATGACGTATGCGAGTCGTCATAGCTCTTTCACTTGATGAGGTACTGCAGCTGCTGCCAGAAGATCCTTGAATTCTTGATCCACTCCACCTCATACTCCTCATCACCCTTGACCTCAATAGCGGGTGGTTCCTCTGGCTCCCGGCCCAGGATGTCACTACACATGTACTTGCTAAGCAAGAAGACATGGAACACCGGGTGCACTGGCACTGACTTTGGCAGAATCAATGCATAATCTAAGTCTCTGAGCTTTCGCCGCACGGCATACAGTCCAAGGCGCTTGGGACTGAGCTTCTTGCTCGGTTGTTTCAGCTTAAGGTTCCAAGCGTCAAGCCAGACCTTGTCCCCCGGTGCGAAGACCGGTGCCTCCTGTATGTGCTTGTCATAGTACACCTTCATGTGCTCAGCTGACAGCTCAAGTGCAGAGCGTATATTGTTGTGAATCTCCTTCAAGATCTCGAGCCAATCAGTGGCTGCAGGCATTGCAGACATCGGATTGATCCGCACTTGGATCTCAGGATGGTACCCCTGATGCAGGAAGAATGGGGAATTGTCGCGACTTGAGGTCAAGCGACTAGAGAAAACTTGAAGGCTGGGGGCGTCCGACTGAGTCTCACCGAAGCGATGGTGAGCTATGCTCAAACCTAAGGCTAGGGACAAGAATGTATTAGTTAGTAAGTAAAAGAAGTAAGTACAGGAGAGCTTACTGACCTAGGGACAAGAGGTCGAAACTGAGGTCCCTAGGGCAGCAGAGGCTGGTTTATATACATGGGAAGATTTAGGGCAGGCTGTGCGTGTTGGTCCGTGCGCAGCTGGTCTGTGCGCAGCATGCCGACACGGCCCCGGGGGCCGGTGAGTCAGAGCGGCTGCGTCAGCGGGGCCCGAGCTGTGCCGTGCACTGCCGTCCTATCTAATCTAATCGTACAGTAGATAACGACGTGTCCATATCGGGCATGTAGTACAGAGGTCGCGGGTTCGAGCCCGCGAAAAGGAAAAATTAAAAAACGGCTAGGCGCCGTATCAAGTCGTGACATTACCCCCCCCTCAACGGTGCATGACCTCATGCGAGGCGCCCTTGCCCATCTCCCATCCGGAGCGGCAGTGTGCTTCAGTCAGCGGCGAGGGCATTGGCTGAAAGTTGAGACCACCAAATGTAGCAGCATTGAGTCGACGAGGGGCGTTCGGGTTCTTCCGGTGGAAGTCGGCTATGAGGGCCGGCGCATTGGCAACGTTGCGCGCCGGTTCCCATGACGTATGCGAGTCGTCATAACCCTTCCACTTGACGAGGTACTGCAGCTGACGCCGGAAGATCCTCGAATCCTTGATCCGCTCAACCTCGTACTCCTCGTCGCCCTCAACCTCGATCGCAGGCGGCTCCTCCGGCTCCCGGCCTGGGATATCGCTACGCGTGTACTTGCTAAGCAAGGAGACATGGAACACCGGGTGCACCGGTACCGACTTTGGCAGGACTAATTCGTAATCCAAGTCTCCGAGCTTTCGCCGCACGGCATATGGTCCAAGGCGCTTGGGACTGAGCTTCTTGCTCGGCT